GATCATTATAATCATTCGTTAAATGGGTCATTCATTGAGACCCGCTGCGATAAGACATCCTAACGCCATGACGTTGTAATTTCTTGGATTCTATTTCTGAAATAGGGAAAGTTTAGAGGAGGGAGATTAGTTTTATAAAAATTAAAATTAAAGTCTTAATTTTTGTGAAACTACTCCCTCATCCAACACATGCAACTAGTGCTGCGAGGGCAAACTCTAATTTCTGTTTCTCTCCCTTCTACCTAGAGTTGATTAATTTGAGGATTAATAGCAAGATGCATGTGTAAAAAGGAGGGTATTGCTGGTTTTTCCCTTTTTTTTTTTTAATTATAATTTTTATTTTAGGAGGGAGGATGATGACGAATTTGGCAGTCGTTGTGTATGCTGACAATATGCTTAAATATTTCATATTTTACACTTCTAGTTGCATTTATTTGTACTTTTTCAGTTGAGGGATAATGGAATGCTTTAGATTGTGGATGATTATCTTTTCATCGTATCATGTCATTCCAACGCATTGAGAGTCAACGACCCCTACGCACACGCAAATAAGAAATTATTGATTACCTTACTATATATTTTAATACATAACGCAACTTGTCGGCAGCGATTTGGGATCAGCAGTCTCAATGATTATTATTATTTTTTTAACAACAGATGATAAGCACTAATTAATGTATGGCGGGTAGTTCTGTCCTTCCATTAATCTTTTGTTATTAATTTTAAAGTTATAATTTGATTTTTAATTTAGAGTTTTAAAGTCTTGATTTTTAATACTTGAGACATCTTTATCTTAGACATAGAAAGTCTCAATAATTATTTTTTTTTTATTTTTTTCTTTAAATTAAAATGTTGTGAATAATAATTATATTTATTTGTAATACTCTTAAAAAAATAAAAGATAAAGAGAAATTTTTGGTAATTAGATGATTGATTAAAGTGAATGTATAATGATAAAGTTAAAATAGAAAAAAATAATTCTTTACCTCGAAAATAAAAAAAATAATTAATTTAAGACATTTAAAAATAAAAAATAATAGTTATTATTATTATTTTTAATTTTAGTTGTACAATGAGAAATAATTATCTCTTGTCCCTTATTTCACCTCATTCACATATCATGCGATTTAAACTCATAACCCGTTATTTTTAGCAAAAGGAGATAATCATTGAGTTATTCATGTCATTGATAAAATAATAGTTATTTTGATACAAAGAATGCAAGAGTTTAAGACTCTTTCTTGACAACTTGAGCTTTAGTCCAAAGACTTATAAAAAAGGATAAACTTAGGGACCAAGGATGACTCTTTGTTAATATGAATTTTCTAATTGGTGCTTTAAGTGCATAAATTAAAAATGTAATTATTATATCTTTTAT